GCCTTGCTGGTGGGAATGTAAAATGGTGCAGCCCGTGTGGAAAGCCCGTAAAACTCAAATAGAATTACCATATGATTCAGCAATTCCACTCCCAGATAAATGCCCAAAGAATGGGAAGCAGGGACTCAGATCCGTGTATACCAGTGCTCATAGCAACACCACTGACAATAACCGAAAGGTGGAAACAAGTCGTGCTCACTCACAGGTGAGTGAATAAAAGGTATAAACATGCAATGGAATATTATTCAGCTATAAAGACAGGGAAATTCTACTACATGCTACAACGTGAATGAAACTCAAAAACATGCTAAGTGAAATAAGCCAGACACAAAAGAATAAACTTTGTATGATACCACTAATCTGAAGTAACAGAGAATAGGCAGATTCAGAGAGAAGGAAATTATAATTGAGATCACCAGGAGCTGGGAGGAAGGGGGTTATTTATATTGGTACAGAGTTCCTATTTGGGATGATAAAAGAGTTTTAAAAGTTGACAGCGATGACGGCTGTGTAACACTGAAAATACAGCGAATGCCACTGAATTGTACACTTAACATGTTAAGTGGTAAACTCTGTCATTCTGTACTGTGGTAAAATACTCATAGGTTGAAAAGTTAAGGGGATGGTAACTAAAAGTCTTACTACAGTGCCCTGTCCTAACTGTTCGGCTCAGCCCAGCCGCTCGGTCCTGTCTCTTCTGTGACAGCATGGACTATAGCTGACCTCCGTCCACGGGGTTTCCCAGGCAGGGGCACTGGAGGGAGTGGCTATTCCCTCCTCCAGGGGATCTTCCTGACCCAGGGATCAAATCTAATAGCATCACATATTAATCCATTTGATCTCAACACTACGTGGTAGGTGCTGCTATTATTATTAAACCATTTTATAGGTGCGGAAACTGAGGCATTAGTCTTAACAAAAAGTACCTCTAGTGACTCTCAGAACCAGGATTCAAACTCCAGCAGCCTGGCTCTAGGTTTGTGCTTTCAGCTACTGCACTCCACTGCCTCTAAAAGCAGTAATTCTCTGGACTTTGGCTGAGAGTTTCCTGCTGCTGCTGCTGCTGCTAAGTCGCTTCAGTCGTGTCCGACTCTGTGCAACCCCATAGACGGCAGCCCACCAGGCTCCCCCGTCCCTGGGATTCTCCAGGCAAGAACACTGGAGTGGGTTGCCATTGCCTTCTCCAATGCATGAAAGTGAAAAGTGAAAGTGAAGTTGCTCAGTCGTGTCCGACTCCTAGAGACCCCATGGACTGCAGCCCACCAGGTTCCTCCGTCCATGGGATTTTCCAGGCAAGCATACTGGAGTGGGGTGCCATTGCCTTCTCCGGAGAGTTTCCTGGGGTGCATTTAAAACTCCCCGTGGCCAGGGAGCAGCTGTTTGAATCAACCTCTGGAGGCTGGACCAGGCATCACGAACTGTACAAGCACCGCGGGTGCTGCCAACGTGTAGCCCAGGTGAAAATAACTGAGATGACATCCTAGCCTTGACCCCAGAAATGAGCAGGGCTCAGCCAGGCGGGGCAGCGGTGAAGATTTCACTCCAGGCCATCCACTGTCTGAGTCATGGGTCTTCACCAAAACACTGTGGTCTTTTCCCTACGTGAGAATGATGACATGAGTCCTCAACAGGAATAATCGCACCTAGTGTTTACTGAGCGACAATGCCCCAAGCGTGACCCTACATGGTTCACATACTTGGTCTCCATTAACCCTCACAGTGATCTTAGCATGTAAATGCCATCATCCCCATTTCACAGATGAGGCAACCGAAGCCTAAAGAGGGTGAGCCGGTCAAGGGCGTCCCAGCAGGAACAGTGAGAAGGAATGTGGTTAGTTTTTTCTTGTTTTCTGTATGCGTCCACCTCTGTCTGGGCGTCTTGATTGAGTCAGAACGTTGGTGCTCCATGGCTCAGGACTGCCCCGAGGAGGTTTGTTAGTCAATCTGAATAATCTCACTCTGGGGTGGAGAGCAGGCCTGACGCTGGGAGAACTTTCTTGGGGAAGTTTAATGCACAACATCAGCTGGACTCTGACAACTAAATTCACAAGGCCCCTGGTCCAGGGAGAAGGTGGCAGAGAGAGTGTGTGTGTTCCTAGGTCTGGGTCACGTTGACTGTGTCCTAACGTAGAGCCAGCCTGGCTAGGGAAATGGACTGACCCCAGGGGGACGCCACATGAAGAAGAGTCCCTTGACCTTTTCCTCTGATTCTGAAAGTCAGAGACCACATCTTGCTAATTCATCACTCTGCCTCGAGAACAGTGTCTGGCACTCAGGGTGTGCGTGCATGCTCTGTGAAGTCACGTCAGACTCTGCAATCCCATGGACTGTAGCCCACCAGGCTTCTCTGTCCAAGGGATTTCCCAGACAAGAATCCTGGAGTGGGTTGCCATTCCCCTCTCCGGGGGATCTTCTCAGCTCAGGGATCAAACCCGCATCTCCTGCGTTGCAGGCGGATTGTTTACCACTGAGCCACCAGGAAAGCCCGGCATGCAGGATGGCTGCTCGTTAAAATCTGTGCATCTGGGAGGGGTGGGGCGGGGCTGCCATGAGGACAGGCGGATGAGCTGAGATCCTGGCTGAACACTTGTTAACAAATAAAGGGATGAAGGAAAGCATGTCCCAAGGAAAGAAAAGTCCATGTTCCAAGTTCAAATTAGGCCTTTCGACTATGTCGCCCATGACTGACGAGAAAACTGAGGCTCAAAGATGTCTAGTGATTTTGCCGACCAACACATAGCTGGAAAGTACCGAAACCTGGATTTGAACTTGGGTCCCCGGATTTCTCTGCTGCTCAGACAACCAGAGGACGATGCACGTGACCAGAAAGAAGGGCAACACGGGGACCCGAGCCATCATCACCAGTGACAAAAATCACAACAGGAGCACAAGCTAGGACTTATTAATGTTATAACGAGCTTATCCTGTGCCAGGAAGTGGTCTGAGTTTGAAATTCTTTATCTCTACAGAATATTCACCAAAAAACCTATGGAATGGAAGTTGCAGAAATGAGGTCCAGAGACATCAACAAGCCTCAGTTCACACGGTTAAATAAGGAGCAGAGCAGAAAATCAAACGCGGGGTCTCAGACCTCAAAGTTTAGCCACTGTTCTCCTGTCAGTGCATTCAGTGTCAGGCAACCGGCTTTGATTGTCATCAGGTTGATAGTTATTATACCTTTGTTTCTGGGCTTTTAACATTTCTATTTTAAGAGAATTTCCGCAGTCCTTTGACAAAGTTTTCCACTCTTCAAAACCAGGTGTTTTGGTGTCATGTCCTGAGTGATGGCAATATTTCGTCGCAGCTGTGAAAATGTAATCAGTAGATCGCTGCAAAGAAGATGAAATCTTGCTTCTCTGACGGTGATCAGCCTGGGGTCTACACCCCCCGCGCACTTTCCCCAGGCCCCCTGGTGCTGGTCAGGAAGGAAAAGGGGCTTCTCCATTTTTACTGGGGCTTCCATCCACGTGGACAGAGCCCATCTCCTAAAACTCCTGGCCTTATCTGCCCTTCCCTGACTCCTCTCCTGGGGAAGAGGATTACCTAGTAGGTAAATTGGGGAGGAATCAAGCTGTCCTCTGCTCTGTCTCCTCGTGGACAGGGGAGTTGTTCTCTGCTCCTGTGTTGGAGCTGGAAGATTCATTCCATTCTGGGGTCCATGTAGGGAAGCCCAGTGGCCACCAGATCTCTAGATTTATCGGCCACAGAGGTGGCGTTTTGGCTCCCATCTGCACTACAGATGGGATGTTTGTGTGTTCCTCCTCTTCCCAAATTTCTATGTTGAAAACTAACCCCCAGTGTCATGGTATTAGGAGATGTGGGCCTTTGGGAAGTAATTAGGTTGTGAAGGAGGACTCCCACAAGTGGATTAGTGTCAATCACTCACTTGTGTCCGACTCTTTGCAACCCCATGGACTGTAGCCCACCAGGCTCCTCTGTCCATGGAATTCTCCAGGCAAGAATACTGGAGTGGGTTGACATTTCCTCCTCCAGGGGATCTTCCTGACCCAGGATTCAAACCGGGGTCTCCTGCATTGCAGGCAGACTCTTTACCAACTGAGCTATCAGAGAAGCCCTAGCAAAAGCCTTAATCGAGACCAAACAATTTTCACTTCCAATCTTTTGAGAAGTTAGAGGGGGGTCTGTTGTTTCGGAGGAGCCCAGCAACTCTTTCTCGTTGCCTGGGTTACAGTGCCCTGATTGTCCTTTGAGGAATTACCCAGGCCACCATGAGTCACATCAGTGGGACTGTCAAGACACCCTGCCCTTTCCTAGCCGAGGGATGAATCCAAAGCCAAGATAGACACCGGGACGGTCAGTCTTCACCAGAGGCAGGGTGGAGAGCACACGGCAGCTCCCCCACTCTGGGAGAGTAATTCTGAGACGTCTACTGCTCCCCGGATGCAGGGAACAGCTCTGGTCCTCGGTCTCTCTGTCTCCCTCCCTCTCCAGCTCCGCCTCCCTTTTTCTTTCTTTCTTCCTTAGCTCTCAGTTCCCGTCCTGTTTGTGACTCAGTATCAGCTCATCAAACTCTGCTCAACACAAATCAGCCAGAATTGGTTGCCTTTGCAAGAGAGAGTACCAACACCCCCAGTCTAAACGTGGACTGAAAGATTTAGAACCTTGGTTTCCATGCCTTCATCTAACAGCTGGAGAAATTAAAGTTAAGAGGAGACTTTCAAATCTGGGGTCAAGGAGGGCTTGTGACTTGATGATTAAAAGCACGAGTTCTTGAGACAGCTGGTCTGGACATAAAGCCTGCCTCTGCCATTTTGTAGTTATTCATTGAAATGGGACACACGGCTTCCCAGGCTTCGTTCGGGTCCTTACCTCTTAATGTAAGATAAGAACAGCACCTAACTCTCAGGGCTGGAAAAGCTACAAAGTGCATAATAACCTTTGGCTGTTATTTTAGTGATGATTCTTCTAGATTTCTTCTGAGAAGTCAAGCAAAACAGGACTGTAAATTGAAAAAAAAAAAAAAAGATGCTGAGCAGGAAGGCACTGGAGAAACCCTTTCTCCAAAGGGGATGTTTATTTCAGAGACAAGCAGAGGGAAGCTCAACCAGCTGTTTTCCAGGAAATCATCCACTTAACCCAGGGTGAGCTCTAAATTTTAATGACCAGCCAGTGTTGAAATACTGCAAAAAGAAGAAAACAAAAAAGGACGAGGATGTAAAAACCCAACCACACACTGCATACACTCTGACGTCTCCAATATTTAATCAGATTCCTGAGTTTAGAGGTGGTTCCCATCTCCACTAGGAGAAGAATCGCAAGCATCACCAATACTGGCATCCAAAAGCTGAGCTCAGTAGTGAGTGTCAGACATCAAGTTCCAAGTTTCACTAGGGTCTCGGAGCAGTAAAATGTAAATGGTTAATCCGCACCCACTGGACTAGAAGTTTGGGGGTGGAAGCGTCTCCTGCCACAGATGTTCTCCTTAGTCTCCAAGCTCCCCCTTCCCTGTCCATCCAAACCTTCTCATCTCAGTGCAAATGCCAACTCCTCCGAGGCTTCCTAGTTCTCTCTAAGGGAGCTACACTCTCAGAATGTTCCTTTGCTTCCTAGCAGTCCCAAGTTTGTAATGACATGCTTTTCGTGACTGTTGGATCAGTTGCTTTTCCCAAGTAGACCGCAAGTTTCACATGACCAGAGATGGTATCTGTTATATATACTACTGATCAGGTTAGATTGGTTTCAGACCCAAAATAGTAACTCTGTATGTCTTTGTTGATTTAATGACTTTGGCAATGCTCTATTATCATTCATTCACTCACCTGATGAGCACTTACATCTTTAGCATGTACTCTTCAATTAATTATTAATAACCTATAACTGTTTACTATCTGCCAGGCACAAATGGGAGCGATGAGGACACAGCCATGACAAAGAGACAAAAATCTCCACCCTCGTGGAATTTAGGGGGAGGAGAGAATCAATGAATACACAAAAAAATGACATACCTTGGTGGAGTCTTAAGCTTCGGAGAAAAGTAAGTAGAGAAGAGAAATAGGGAGGGTCGGGATGGGGGCAATTTTGAAGAGAGATGCTGGAGAAGCAGAAACCCCGCCAAGTGAGGGAACACAGTGTGAGGCATCGGGTTGGGGAGGGGTCCGCAGGGAGCCGTAGTGAGGGGCGTGTCCTGGGTCATCAAGGCCGGAGCGAGACGGGAGGGGGGCGGGCGGAGGACGGGGCGCCCGGGAGACCGACGAGGGGGCCGGGCGGAGGACGGGGCGCCCAGGAGACGACGCAGGCAGAGCCCTGAAGGAGTCTAGATTGTGCTCTGAGATGCGGAGTTGCTGGGAAGGATACATCTGGAAAGACAAGTGGGATTTCAAATTATTTTGGAGGGAGTTCCTTGACAATCCAGTGGTTAGGACTCTATGCTCTCACTGCTGAGGGCCTGGGTTCAACCCCTGGTCAGGTAAATAAAAATCCTACAGGCTGCATGGAGTGGCTAAGTAAATATATATGTATGAATATATGAATATATATATTATTCACTTCCCTGGTGGCTCAGAGGATAAAGCGTCTGCCTGCAATGCGGGAGACTCGTGCTCGATCCCTGGGTCGGGAAGATCCTCTGGAGAAGGAAATGGCAACCCACTCCAGAACTCTTGCCTGGAAAATCCCATGGACAGAGAAGCCTGGTAGGCTACAATCCATGGGGTTGCAAAGAGTCGGACACAACTGGGCGACTTCACTTCTATATTATTGACTACATATACATATTTGAATATCTGAATATATATATTTGACATTTGACAATTGACAGATACTTGAATACATACATACATATATGCATAAAGCAGTCTGACTCTGGAGACTAGGTTGAAGGGGGCCCGGGGAGTTGGGAGGCTCTGGGGACCCTTTTTCTCCCTGGCCGGGGGCTGCGGCAGGACGTGCTGGTAATCAGGCTCTGTGAAGATAAGGGCGCCAGGAGGTGCTGAAGGGTTGACTGTGGGATGTGACGGAATAAAGGGGTGTCAGGGAGACTCCAGTATGTCTGGCCTAAGCCACTGGATGACGGAGCGCCTTCTGTCGGACTCTGAGGAAAGCAGGTGGTGGGGAGGCGATGGTGGGGACCGCAGGTTGGGGGCGCTGGGGTTCAGGCATGTGCTGTTTCAGGCTATTTACAGCATCCGAGGGGAGACAGTTACAGGACAGACACCGTCCTTGCCTCTCCGGGAACCTGCATCTCAGTGAGGGAGACACCCGGTCAACAGCACAACCACGAGGCGATCCACCATGTGAACCGGCGCCGGGCGCCACGGCGGTGACGTGGCAGCGGCAGTCACGTGGTGTGACGCGCGGGCGTCGCAGGGGCCCGGGGGCGGCGTTGGCGGGAAGGTGGCGGGAGAGCGGAGACCCGGGCAGGGCCCGCCAGGCCAAGTCCCGGAGGCAGGAACGAGCTTGGCGCGTCTGAGAAGCAGGAAGAAGGCAAGTCCAGGAGGCTTACCCACGGCTGGGTCCTACTTTAAGCGAGATGGGAGCGGCTTCCCTGGTGGTCTGGCGGCTAAGGCTGCACACTCCCAATGCAGGGGGCCTGGGTTCGACCCCGCGTTGGAGAACTACAGCCCACAGGCCACAACTTAGAGTTTATATGGTGCAACTAAGACCCTGTGCAACGAGGTGAGTTTTTTTTTTAAGAAGACCCTAAAATCATAAAGATTATTATAAACAAACACAATGGGAAGCTGTTGGGAGACTTACAAGAAGGATACGGTCACACCTGACTCCCATTTTTAAAAATAACTTTGGAGGGCTTCCCTGGTGGCTCAGTGGTAAAGAATCCACCTGCCAATGCAGCAGACACGGGTTTGCTTCCTGGTCCGGGAAGATCCCACATGCCTTGAGGCAGCAAAGCCCCGTGCGCGGTTAACTACTGAGCCTGTGCTCTGGAGCCCTGGAGCTGCAACTAGTGAGTCCATGTGCCTAGAGCCCGTGCTCCAAAGCAAGAGAAGCCACGGCAGTGAGAAGCCAAAAAGCCGCGACTAGAGAAAAAAGCCTGCCCTGCCCAGCCCCAGATGAAAGCAAGGGTACCGCTGGAGACTGGATTCGCGTAAGAGGGAGCAGGAAACCCCATTAGCATGCCATTAGGCATCACCCAGCCAGACAGGACGCTGACTCAGAAGGTCAGAGGCGGCGGAGAGAACCGGACAGATGTGGGACCTGCCTTGGAGGGCGAGACGACAGGATGAGAGGAAGAGGGATCCGGGGTGCTGAGGTCGTGGGGTGCGCGGGCTGTTGGAGTTCAGGGGGAAGCTCGGCAGGACGGCTCACCTCAAGTGGGACATGACCGCGGGAGGGGAAGCATGCTGACACATGTTTTCAAAGTGAGCCAAGTCCACGTACAGGGTAGCAGACACATGAGAAATACTCCAGCCTGATGACTTTTCCCAAAGTAGCGTATCCGGGAAGTCAGGCCCCGAAAGCCCCTCCGTGCCCGCTCCGTTCCCTCCTCACTATTCCTCCCCCAAGGCAACCACTGTCCTCGCCTGACACAAGCCTTACTGACAGCTTTAGACCTATGATTCACAGATACTAATCCGAGGGAAGCGTGGGGCACTTGCTTACGTAATTCTCCGAAAAACAGGCTCACTCGGTCTTCTAGGCCGAGCACGCTTCTGTCCCTTGCTGGGAGGCGGGCCTGTCTCCCCTTCTGCCCCTAGGGGGCGCCGCGCAGCCGGCGCGGGCTGGTGGCCGGCGGCCTGTCCCCCGCGAGTCAGAGGCGCGGCAAACCCAACGCGAGGTCCAACTGCAAAGCCGTGCTCCCGGCGGGCCTGCTCCGCCCGGCCTCCCTTCTGGGTTTCACTTCACTCGTCCAGTCCCCGCAGCGGCTCTGCTTAAGGCACCCTTGTCAGTTCCTAGTTCTTGCGGCGGCTAATACTTGAATACGTTACAGCCAGTTTTCCTGTCCTGGAAATTAATCTCTTCTGTTTCCCTCCCTCCCTCGCTCACCTCCTCCTCCCCTCTCACTATTCCTGGGATTATTTCTTTTGGAAATAATTCCCTGTGCACTCTGCCTCCATAAATCTCTGAGTCCTGGCACATGGAACAAGCCTGTATTACAAGGGAACAGAATCAACAGGCAACTGGGAGGCAAGCTTCTACCCTCTGCAGTTTCGCCCCAGTAGGAGGACCAGGTAACGCCTCCCGGACAAAAGGTTCATCTTTTCAACTGCTCTTATTTTTCGGGAGACCCCCATTCCCTGTCTTTTTATTAAAGGGCTGTTTTTGCGTCCTTGGCTCTGCACATGTTTTCTGCATAACATGAAACAGTAACCTTTAAGTCTTCCACATCCTGCTGTGCTCTGGACTCACAAACCACAGTTTTCAGACACACACAGGACACACAAACACACACACACACACACACACACACCCACCCTGAATCTGTACTAGCTGACTGCTGGCAAAAGAAAACAACTTTTCGCTGTTCCTTTGGCTCTCTCCGTTTAACACCTTAATTGAGAGATAATTTACATGCCATAAAACTTACCCGGTTTAAGTGTGTAATTCAATCTTTTTTCCCCCAGTTTATTTACTGAGGTGTATGCTGGCTGCTGCTTTTTGAGAAAGGAGCCACTGGGTGAGCATTTTGACTCCACAGTCCCTCCTCACCTAGAGAGGTGACATCTAAAGATCAGAGAGCAGATTCTGTTTCACCCCCAAAATAGCTGTTTTATTCATTGTGCCATTTACAACTCACTTCCTGTGTTTTGACTCTGAGCTGCAGGCCTGCTGCTTAGAAGCCAGGTGGATTGGGGTTTTTTTTTTTACAATGTTAAGAAGTTTCTCTTGTGGTAGAGGAATTTTCTGCTTGCTTTTTTGTTTTGTTAGTGTTTAGTGAGTCTTCAGATCTTTGCTTCATCTGCTGAGCTAATTAGAGAGACGTGAAATGTACCTTTATGACAAGACAGAGTATTCAGACACAATATTTAGAGCTCTGCTCAACCGTCCACAGCATTCTAACTGTTGAGACTGATGAAAAAAGGAAGATGCCTAGAAATATAAATAGGACATGGAGGCCTAGAACTTTCCCCTAATATTACAGTCTTCATCTGTCCTTGGATTTTGACATCTCTGAGTATTATTTGAGAAACAGAAATGACAAGAATCACTTTAGGAGATCTGCCTGAGGATCACGTGAGATAATTCACTTGAAAACACGTAGAATGCTAACAATTTTTAAAAATCTATTACTGTTCACTGAACACAAACCTTAAAAAGCTTCAGTAATGGTATAAGAATTCTGTTTTGGTGAATGTACATTAAAAAGTGCACAGTGCCCGCTGCTGGAGAGAGTGTACCAGTTTAACCAATGGCTCAGCCGACAGGTTACAAGGCCTGCTGTGCGCCAGGCCCTGGGGCCTGAATGGTGCAGGCAGAGCTGGGTGGAAGAAAGAGAGTCAACATATAGTTGAGCAAATAAATATCTAAGTACAAACTATGCAAGGGTTGCGGAAGAAGCTATTGTGGTGTGTTTATGTCTAAAGCAACTTAAGATAATGAATATTTTGCTAGTAAACGTATACCTGTAGGCACAGAAAAATTTTCTGAAACAAATCATGTGAAATTGGTTATAAGGGTCTCTTTTTGTGATAGAAACCAGAAAAGTACAGAGGGGAATGTCTTCTACTTTTTACTCTGTTAACTTTTCTATACAACTTCAAGTTTCTAATTAAAAGCATGTACTTTTATCATTTGTTTTGTTGTTATCCTAGAAATATATATATATCTTTATTAAGATATAAGTAGGCTTTATTAAGCCTATCAGTAGGCTTCTTTGGTCAATAGGCTGAGAGTCCATTTTTATTTTCTTCCTTAGACTTCTATCTAAAAACAACCTGTTATTTTAAATGAATAAATGATTAACTGCTTTAAATACTTAACTTGTCATGCCAAACTAATTAAAAATTAAATATTACACTTGAAAAGACAAAGGTCATTTACTGGAGTGCAAGAATTCATCAACCCATACCAAATCATTACCAGCCTGCTGTGCCCACAAAGTTTGCCCAGATAACACTTTCCTTCAACAGATGTCTGAGCGTTTACTGTGTACCAGGCATTGCTCTGAGCACTGACTACCAGATAAAACAAAACCCTCGGGGAGTCACAGACTAGACTCTAGTTGGAGGAAACAGACAGGTAAACCAAATACATATTTACATACAATAAGTGCTAGAAAAAAAAAATGAGAGCAGGGCTGGCTGGCAACTGTCCTGGGGAAACGGAGGGTGCTTTTCGCTCATCATTCAGAATACACTCTGCAGCTGCATCGCTGCAGAGAAAGGTCAGGAGGCCTGTCAGAGGAGATGCCATTTCAGCCTGGATGGAGAGAAGGGAGACGTGAGCCATGCAGATAAATGACGGAGGAGTGTTCTCTGCCAGAAGAAAGGACCAGTAAAGGCTCTGAAATGGGAGAGCTGGAAACCAGTAAATCGACAGTAAGTACAGGACCCTCGTACTGTTTATTCTACACACTTGTCACAGTGCTCTGAACACTTCATAATTTAAAATTTAAAAAAAAAAACTAAAGGTGAACACTGATAGCTTTATTATTGTGTATACAGGACTCAGATTGTGTGGTTCTGGACACTGCTTCTCTTTTTTCAATAGTTAATAAAAAGTCAGTGTGGACTACACATCCTAGAAAAAAATAGATATATCTTTATTAAGACAGAGCTTAAGATTCTTTAGCCATATTCATGTCATTATGATGTATTTTTATTCTCATAGTATCTCATAAAATGCATACTTTATTACTATAGTACATGAGATTTAAAAAATCTTTTCTATTGTGCTAAAAAGCGCATAATGTAAACAAACACATTTTCACCAGGGGGCTTCCCTGATGGCTCAGTGGTCAGGAATTCACCTGCCAGCGCGGTGATGCAGGTTCGATCCCTGGGTGAGGAAGATGCCCTGGAGGAGGCAATGGCGACCCCCTCCCGTGTTCTCACCTGAGAAAGCCCATGGACAGAGAGGCCTGGAGGCCCACAGTCCCTGGGGCCGCAGAGAGTCGGACACGACCGAGTGACGGCGCAGCAGCAGCGTCTTGGTCGCCTCTGACTGTGCAGCTCAGGCTCTAAGGAATTCTCACTGTTGCACCACGCTTACCGCCAGCCAGCTCTCGAATCTTCCACCTTTCTAAACTGAAACTCTGTCCCCACTAAGCACTAACTCCCCACGCCCACCACGAGTGTACTTGCTGACTCTCTGAACCTCTGTTCTAGGCACCTCGTACAAGTGGAGTCACAGAGTACCCATCTGCACCTAAAGCTCACTGGAATGGTACAAGCCCATTTTTAGCCACCGAAAATGAAATCAGTGAGTATTAATTACTTCATAAGGGAAAGGACCCTGCTGCTGTGAGATGCTCAGCGGTCAGAGGGGCACAATGACAGTGGGTCCCTGAACTACTTAAAACAACAAAAAAACCAGCCAACCCTCAGGAGCCCTAGCACAGCATCCGCACTTTGTGCTGAGGTCCTTCCCTTAGAGTGAAGGGCTGGCTGCGAAGTCACCTCTAAGGCCTTTGATTCCTTCTCCTGCCCCTTCTCTCACATTCTCAGTCCTAACTCCATGAATTCTGATGAAAATCACGGAATCCGTGATTTTTCATGCTCCCTGGCTGAGCACTGGGTTAATCTTCTGTTCCTCTTTCGAACGGGATCTGTGGGCAGGCTGCTCTAGAACAGCGGTTCTCAACCAGAGGCCATCCAAACCCACCCCACCCTGCCCTTCGTGGGGGCATGTGGCCGTTACAGGAGACGGGGGGCCTGTCATGACTGTGGAGGGAGTGCTGCCAGCATCTAATCAGTCCAACCTGGGGAGCTGGAAACACCCGCAGTGCACAGGACAGCCCCACAGCACAGAAGGATCCAGTCCGAACATCAGCAGTGCCAAAGATGAGAGCCTTGGGTGTAGGGAGACTGGGAAGGAGGAGGACGGGAGAAAACGGGTGGTGGTCCCTGCCTACTCATGCCCATCTGGTGTCTCCCACCCAGGGAACAGCCCAGCAACTTCTGTCTCTTTTGCTGTTGACTCTCCACTCTTGACTGGGCTTCCCAGCTGGTGTTATTGGTCAAGAATCCGCCAGCCAATGCAGGAGACCCAAAGAGATGCCAGTTTGATCCCTGGAGCAGGACTGGCCACCTACTCCAGTATTCTTACCTGGGAAATCCCATGGACACAGGAGCCTGGCAGGCTACAGTCCATGGGGTCGCAGAGTCGGACACAACTGAACACACTTACGTACTTACTAACTTATTCTCCTCCTGATTACTCTGTTATTCCTGAAGACCTGGGTGTGTGACTTCAATAACGCCATGTTAGACCCAAACACAATGGAATAAATGAAAACTGGAGGGCAAATTCTAACATGTACCAGAGCTGTATGAGCATTCTTTCTAAGACTTGAAAAAATCTTCAGATCCTTGGTTTAATTTAATGGATGATACATTCATCTGCATATGGCATTCAGCAGCAAAGTAAACTTTTTTCTGCGTCTTTGTTTCCAAATCAATGGGGAACAAAGGATATCCCCATTCCATTCAAGCCGTTTCAATGATTCTCAAATGAATGTGGGAGTAATAGTCAAGCCATTTAAATATAGTGATGAGAAAGCATACTTAGTAACCTTGTAAACATTCTATGAAAGTACAAGGGAACCTTTAAGAAGAATATCCAAGTGTCCTTTTTATATAATAGCCCTTTGTACTTTGAAATGTTCAGATGCCAATAAAACAGAATTGAACAGAACAGACTAGAAAGACTGCAACTTCCAAATTTTCTAGTAACAGTGCTGTTAAAACATGATTTTTGTTTCTTAACACTCAGAAACTTCAGCTTCCTCAGCCCTACTTACAGAAAGGACCTCGGACACAGAGTTCACCAACCGCCAGAGGAATTCAGAGGAAGCTAACTGTACCCTAAGGCCTTTGAAGCTCTCCAATGATGACCCAAGTTTTGTGTGTTTTTATTTTGAAAACAGCAGCAGCTTGGCGGGAAGCAGGAAGACAAGAGAACTGACTGAAACCCGCCCTCCAAATGGGAAGAAAAACTACCAATGACGAACTGTGAGGTTTGAAATCACTGTGCATCATACTATCCATTATTCAGACAGCTTCCAGCCTCGTTACCTGGCACCTTCTCCTGCTCTGCGCTGCCTGTAGAAACGCACTGCAGGAAGGCTGAGCCGGTCTTTCAGAGGAAAGGCCGCTTCTTGATCTCCCCGTTCTGCCTCCCCCCTCTATCTGTGTTCTGTCTCTCTGTTGCTATCTGCATGTGTTGCAATCCCCTCCCGTGTTCCAAAGGCCAACGAAAGAGTCTCCCGTCAGGGTACTCGGCCAAGCACATTCACTGCTCAACTGTGTTTTTCTCAGCCCTTTCACCCACCGATTTCAAATTTCTCTTTCAAGAGGCCAGCGATGGCAGACCTCAACTGAATCAGTTACAAAGAGGCGAGCTGGGAAACCACACCCGGGAGATTACTTCGAGAGAAGAGCAGCCTGACGCTCTTCATCTAAATCCCTAGTCCTCACTCCAGCCTACAAGACGGCAGGAAACTCGCAGCCATAAGCCAATGAGCTCAGCTGGCCCCGAACGGGTTCTTTTAAAAGTCTGTGTGTGTGTGTGTGTAGGGGGGAGAAACAAGAGGCGCTCTGCCCGGGAGAACCTGGAGAGAAAGAAGTCCTCTCTCCTAACGCTGTCTGAAGTTTGCTGCCAGGGACTCGGTGCATACCTGACCAAAAACAGCAAGTGCCCTACCTAACTGGTTTCACTGTTTCCCGGCTGCTACCTGGAGAGTAAACAGAACCTTATCATTCTCAGGGACATCTGACTTGGACATTTTTCCCCCCAAGTAAATATTTGTAATTTCAATGCTCTTCCACTGCTGCCAACTGCTGTCTTTGAACTGGATTGACTGACAGTTCTGTCTCTGAGGAAGCGCGCTCCATAGCAACGAGCCAGGGAAGCCTGCACCTTCCACCAGGCTGCCTCTCTGCGGCCACTGGGTGGGACTGGGGGGCGTGTGGTGACCCGGGACTCTGTAGTTATCTCGTCAGACTGGAGCCGGACCGAGGAAGGTTCTTCCTGTGCCCCCTGGGCACCCCCAGTCGGGCAGGATTTCTGTTGATTGCTTTGCACTTCTCAATGAATCCAACACTCGGGGCATTTTTCTCTCTTGATTCAGGAAGTGGGGAGCTGAGCTCTGAGAGTCTTTCTGCTCCAATGATATAAACAAATTGTAGAGGAAGTCAAGTCAAACTTTCCCTTGCTGCTTTTGTTCTCCCAACCAGCGATTCAGAAAACAGAGCCAACTTTTTTTTTTTTTGGATGACTTTTAAAGATTGCTCTTAACTGGAAAGGCAGAAACTCTTTTAAAAAAAAAAGAAAAAAAAAAAAAAACCAAGATACTCAACTTACTTTTTTCAAAAAAGAAATGCCCTAGAAGGTTTGGGTTTTCTTTTTTCTTTTTTTTTTTAAATAAGGCTGTTTGTGAGACTTTTCAAACCAAATGTCTCCCTTGACATTGCAGTTACCTAATGGTTGTTCTTTCCTTCAAACTTCAACCAAAAGAGCATTAATGAGCTTTGTGTGGACAATGGCCAGACTTGATTAGAGGCCCTTGGTGTCATAATTCACAGCCAAGGAGAGCTAACAGTCATGATTCAATCAGGGTGCCCATACAAGGCATACAGCAGACAGAAACGAGACAACTTATTTGCAGCAGCAGCAGATACTGCTTGAAAAAAATCACACATAATAAGCCCTTCTTGTCGTGGAAGCTACTTGAAGGCCTTATCACCAGCTTGTAAGATGTCATCTCTGTCTCACTCATGGTTCTGAGAGAGACATTTCCAAACCAGAGACCCCTGACAACCCCAGGCGAACGCGTACCACCCCTGTCCGTGAAAGAAGCTCCGCGCTGCATAAGCGAAGGGAGGCAGGACGGCGGGGAGATGCACAAACATCTGCAGGGGGCTTCCCGCACTGGTGTTCCGGCATGTGAATCCTGGTGCAAGAAGTAAGACATGACGTCACGTGGGCATCTACACGCCACACTTGCTCGTCCTTGGCTGGCGCTCCGTGTACACGGGCAGATAGTCAACTTTCAGAAACAGCCCGATTCCCTAGTGAAGCATGCTAAGCTCAAATAGAGGCTCACACTCCTGACTGCATCTCTGTGTTCCCTTCTGTACAGCCGGGATACGGTGTGACACGGCAGAGCTGTTACATGGCTTAAAAGTAGTACCGCGACATCTCACCCCATCGCGTGGTGTGTGCTAGACTCTCAGTGAAAGGTCGTTACTGTTAAAATTCACACCGAGTTCGCCTGGGTCAGGAAAAACCAGCATCGGTAGAATCTAAATTTGGATTGTATTTACAAAGTTACTTCTATTAATATGTCAGAACATGTTTGTTTAACCATGATTGTCCCTGCCCTCCTTATCTACATTATATACTGTAGCTACTCACAGACCAATAGGTAGATAAAATCAGTTATGCAAGTTGTAATTGTGCAATTATTGAATAAAGAAAGGATGAAAGGAAAATGTAAAGTTCTGAAAGCTGGCTTGAGTTCACGTTTCATCTTATATCCATTAGACTGTTTATCTACTTGTCTACACTCTCGCTCTGTGGATCATTTTCCAGGCATGCATTTCCCCTGATCCACATTGGATGAGAAAGCTATTTCATTTCCATTATGGGGAGCGGACCCACAGCACACCCAGAGGCAGCACCTTGCCTGGAGGCCGCCGAGGTGTGCTCGGCAGTGTTGGAAGCTGTGTGCACCTCCACACCCCATAACTACTTTGAGAACTTTGATGTAGAAATATGCAATACCTACAGTGCTCCAGAATTTCTATAAAGCAAGTAGAGCTATTATGCCATGATGCAATCGCCATACATTTACCAAATTCAACGAATGCATGTACTGGGTGCTGGGTACAAACGGTGGTCATCGGTTCTGGCTGGTCCCCGGTAAAGACTAGACACACGTGCCTGCAGGACCAGGAAAGCAGAGACACCGTTATGAGGCTGCGTGTGCAGTTGCTCAGTCGTGTCCAGCTCTTTGTGACCCCGAGGACTGCAGCCCACCAGGCTCCTCTGTCCATGGGGATTCTCCAGGCAAGAGTACTGCAGTGGGTTGCCATTTCCTCCTCCAGGGCATCTTCTGGACCCGGGGATCAACCTGCATCTCAAGTCTCCCACACTGACAAGTGAATCCGGTACCACTAGCTCCACCTGAGAAGGAAGTAAACCCTCATACCCAACCAACAGCACCTGCAGGTGTGAACACACGCAGGAGGGTCACGTTTGGTGCATTTCCCACTTATCAGTTCACCTCTTATACCTGATGCAACGTGACTTTGGAATTCTGGTGCGTGCTCTGTCCAAGTCTAAGTGGGATACCAGGGAAAGCAAGAGAGGATCTTGAATAAAAGTATTCACCAGGCTGTTGGGCTTTTTAATCATTCTATTAATCATGATTCTCTGGAAAGACAGAATCAATAAGATATGGATGTATAGGAAGAGATTTATTATGAGGAAATGGACTCATGCAGTTATGGAGATTGAAAGGTAGGATAATTTTCTGTCTGGAAGCTGGCAGCCCAGGAGAGCCAGGAATATAGTTCCAGGCTGAGTCCAAAGGCCTGAGAAACAGGAGGACTTAGGGCAGGAAAATCAACGCCCCAGCTTAAGCCAGGGGTCAGGAAGAGCCAAACTCTTCCTCCTCTGCTGCTTTGCTCTGTTCAGTCGCTCAAGGGACTGGATGAGGCGCGCCCAGGCTGAGGAGGGCACGCTGCCTCACTGAGTCTGCCAATCCAATGCCAATCTCATCTGGAAACACCTTCGCAGCCATTCCCAGAAACAGCACAGAACCAATATCCAGGCAACCCGTGATCTTGCTGACACACAAAATTAATCATCACAACCCACTAAAGAGGAATAGATGATGTGATCACTCAGGGAAAAGAAATACTGACACTGACAGAGATACCATAAAAGAAATGCCCCATCTCCACAAACGGGATGGCAACCAAGACGTGTGCGTGCATGCTCAGCCAGGTCTGACTCTTTGCCACCCTGCTTCTCCATCCACGGGATGCTCCAGGCAAGAACATTGGGTTGGGATGCCATTTCCTCCTCCAGAGGATCTTCCCAACCCGGGGAGCGAACCCGCAGCCTTCTGCGTCTCCTTGGATCGGAAGGCAGATTCTTGACCATTGAGCCGCTTGGGGAGATTCACCCCCGCCCTGGGAAACAGACACTGCCTGAAATCTCAGAGATCGTACATAAAACACTTGACAGATATTTTCCCAAATTTGACACAAAAATCCTAAAGATTTGTATCACAGTAATGTGTTGTCATGTATGGATGTGAGAGTTGGACTGTGAAGAAAGCTGAGCGCCAAAAAATTGATGCTTTTGAACTATGGTGTTGGAGAAGACTCTTGAGAGTCCCTTGGACTGCAAGGAGATCCAACCAGTCCATCCTAAAGGAAATCAGTCCTGGGTGTTCATTGCAAGAACTGATGCTGAAGCTGAAACTCCAGTACTTTGGCCACCTCACGCGAAGAACTGACTCACTGGAAAAGACCCTGATGCTGGGAGGGGTTGGGGGCAGGAGGAAAAGGGGACGACAGAGGATGAGATAGCTGGATGGCATCACCGACTCATGGGCATGAGTTTGAGTAAACTCCAGGAGTTGGTGATGGACAGGGAGGCCTGGCGTGCTGCGATTCATGGGGTCGCAAAGAGTCAGACACGATTGAGTGACTGAACTGAACTGAATGTGTTGTGAAGCCAAAGAAACTTCTCTAAATTGACAATAATTTATTTAAAAATAAACTTTAATTAATCCTGATGGCAGAAGGATTAAATCTTCTTTCAAGTAGTCTCCCTCTAGAAAATGATAATCCAAGATCATTGTCATATTAACAGGTAGTCCAAGAGTATGCAGGGTTTCCTAGGTGTCCCTAGCAGTAAAGAATCTGCCTGCCAATGCAGGAGACCTAAGAAAAGCAGGCCAGGAAGATCCCCTGGAGGAGGAAATGGCAACCCACTTCAGTCTTCTTACCGGGGAAATTCCACGGACGTAGGAGCCAGGCAGGCTGCAGTCCATGGGGTCATAAACAGTTGGACATGGTTGAGTGACTGTGCACAGAAGAGTATGTAGACAAAATATATAGGAAGCATATATTGTAGGAAAAGTCAGGTAGTTAATAAAAAGAACCCAGTTATATGCATTACCTAACTTAATTACCCACCTCCACTCTGGCCACGTGATGCAGTGCAGGCCAGTGCAGCAGTAACAGAAGGCTCTGGGAGAGTCCCGGACAGGTTTGTTGTGCTGAAAAGGAAAAGAGGTCCTTGGTTCTACCTGTCTTCCTTTTCCCTGACTTGAGAGGAAAGCAGTCAGGCATCCTGCAAGCACAAGGAAGAAAGAATCACAGAGCTCTGACATTCTAGAGCCTCTGAAACAATAACTTCCTGCCTCTGGACTTCCTTTTACGTGAGAGGAAAAAAACCTAAGTCTCCGCTGGCTTTTCGCTACGGTGGTTGCTACTTACAGCTGAAAGCATCCCGAACTGGTTTAATGCAGTTGAGGCGGAGCACAATCAGATAACCAAGCTCACAACAGCAGCGAATGGAGTGATCAGAAAGAAAACCAGATCTTTCTGACCTTAAAATCTGTACCCTTAAGCATGATGTTACACTGTCATTATGATTTCTGCAAGTAAGCAAAAACACACAGCAAATGTGTTTGCTCCAGATAGAGTAACAAGACCGTGTCATATTGCCTCAAACTCTAGGACACTAAGTCTACATTACAATTTAAACTTAACTGTAAATTTCTGGGAGGATATGGAAAGTGCTAAAGAATCCCTTAATATTGATAATGTTGAAAATATGCTACAAATGTGCCTCCTATTTCTTTAAAGATTTTTGGGGGGATGAGGGCCGCTTTTAAAGTCGCTATTGAATTTGTTACATTATTATTTCTGCTCTATGTTTGGGTTTTAGGCCACAAGGCATGTGCAATCTCAGCTCCATCGCCAGGAATCGAACCCACACGCCCTGCATTTGAAGCGAAGTCTTAGCCACTAGACCACCAGGGAAGTCCCAGTACCTGCCAATTTACTCCCGTTATCTATTTCTCCATCACTCGAGCTGAGCCCGAGCCCCCACTTTAGAGGCGAGAAGACTGCAGCTCAGAGAGCTCAGGTGGCCTGCGCAGGGCGGCCAGAACAAGCTAACCTCAGCTCTGCCACAGCCCAGAGCTGGCACCTCTGCAGGTTAGAGGGCAGTAGTAAAGTATGTCCCATGTGTGTTAGGACTGGGTTGGCCAAAAACTTCCTTTCGGTTTTTCCATAAGATATTATAGAAAAACCTGAATGAACTGTTTGGCCAATCCAAATGAATAAATGATCTTCCATGTGGCAACAACGCTTGACAGTTCATCCACAAATGAATAAAGCTTGGGAAACAGTCTGGTGGCAGATACTGAAGTGAAATAAGCCAGTCAATTTCTGCTCAGCCCCATCTAGCTGTAACATTCAGTGAATTTCACCATCTCTCTAAGCATCCGTTTCTTCCTCCGTGAAAAGGAAAGAACATGAATACAACCTCACAGAATAGTCCTGAGAATTCAAGGCGGGCAAAAGCTGCCTGGTTCCAGCCAGACTGTCCAACAGCCCTTGACAAGTGTTCACGGTCATTTAATTACTGTCCCATATGTCCTTCCTACATGCAAACGAGGCAGTTCTGTTCTTATCTGGGTATTTCTCTTTGACAAATTCTGAGCACTCTCAAAACTAGAAGGAATATGCAATAATCTGAGAGCAAATGGTCTCTGCAAAAGGAAAGACCTGAATTTTGCTAGAAACAATGTTTTCCATGCCCATCCATGCATGCTAAGTCGCTTCAGTTGTGTCGGACTCTGTGTGACACCATGGACTACAGCCCACCAGCTTCCTCTGTCCATGGGACTCACCAGGTAAGAACACTGGAGTGGGTGCCATGCCCTCCTCCAGGGATCTTCCCGACCCAGGGACTGAACGATGTCCCTTACATCTCCTGCACTGACAGGCAGGTTCTTTACCACTAGCGCTGCCTGGCAGGGAACAAAATGAAAACGGAGTCTGGTGAGAGTGCCAGGGGTGGGGGCAGTGTAGAAAAGGTTTTTCTGCCCTTGCAAAACGTAGGCCAATCATATATCTGACAAAGGATTTGTATCCAGAATATGTGTTTGATAGTTTTCAAACAAGAAGAAGCAGAAAGCAAACCACTCAATATTTTAAAGCGGCAAAAGATGTGAATGGACACAACATTAAAAAAAACATATGTGTGTGTGTGTGTGTGTGTGTATATATATATATATATATACACTGATGACAAATAAGCAAATGAGAAAATGTTCAACGTCTTTAGTCACAGTGATGAGAGACCACTATGAACTTATTGGAAGAGCTAAATTTTAAAAACCCTGATATATCAAGTGCTAGCTTCATAGAACTTTGTGTGTTCAATCCTGGGCGAATAACACACCCCTAATACATGCGGTATATGGGGAAACTTCCAAAGAAAATTAAGAACCAGACCTTTGGAAGAGAGGGCTAAGAAGACGAGAGAGGGACTAAAATATGAACGAAATGTTGATGGACAGGACTTCACCTCAAAGAAGTGATGTCTCTTCCTGAAAATTTCAATCACTACTGGGCCATCTGCCATTTTACAAGACAGGGAGAAAGACGTAAGAGCGACATCACGTTTACTAAACCTCTGCTTTCCTCAGGTACCTCACTCAGGACTCCCACAGCTGGTCCCAGATTACAGACACAGCCCAGAGAGGTCAGCAGTTTGCCCAAGGCCACACAGCAGTTGAACAGAGGAACCAGAATTCCCAAGATGCTCCTTTTCTCCTCCTTACATAACGCAGCCTTCCCTACCAGGAAAGCAGCATGGCAGCCAAGTGAGTGATGCTGCTCCCTCGGGGGAAGTTCTCCCTTTAACGTGCCTCCTGCAGACAGAGTCCCTCCCCCACTCCCCGCCACCTTCCTGCCTTCTGAGGTCCCTCCACTTTTCAGTTTTATGTTGGATACCTGCCCCGTCCACGCCCCGCCTCCCCATTATATCAGTGTTAGCCAGTGTGATTCAACTTGCTTTTCATTTGCATCCCCCCATAAGGAATGGGCTTCCCTGGTGGCTCAGCTGGTAAAGAATCCGCCTGCAATGTGGGAAACCTGAGTTCAATCCCTGGACTGGGAGGACACCCTGGAGAAGGGAACGCCTACCCACTCCAGTATTCTGGCCTGGAGAATTCCACGGACTGTATGGTCCATGAGGTCGCAAAGAGTCGGACACGACTGAGCGACTTTCACTTTCTTTCCACGGGGAATATTTTTTGGAGAAGGAAATGGCAACCCACTCCAGAACCCTTGCCTGGGAAATGCCATAGACAGAGGATCCTAGCAGGCTACAGTCCATGAGTTCACAAAGAGTCGGACATGACTGAGCAACAGAGCACACATGCATGAGGGATGTTTTTAGACTCTTTTTATCCTACTCACCCCCGTGTTAATACCGCAGACATACTGCACACCTACTCGCGTGCTGTGCGTCTCTGTGGGCTTCATCTAGAGAAAGATGAGCTTTGAGAAGCATAAAGTGTGGCCCCTGGCAGGCAGCTCTGTGCCCCTCGGGCTCAGGGGTGGCGGCGAGCCAGCGGCACAGTACAGAGCCGGGCGGAGCTGGTGCCCAGGCACTGTGAGCGCTTCCTGGGCATCGCCTCATCCAGCCCTCTGCTCAGACGCTGCGCTCCCGGCTCCACCCAGAACTGGGAAGCTGCATTAACTCCAGTGGCCCCTTCTTGAAAACAGTGGTGTGGTGTGTTTGAGTCGTTCAGTCCCGTCTGACTACTGCAGCCCCATGAACTGTAACCTGCCTGGCTCCTCCGTCCACGCGATTCTCCAGGCAAGAGTACCGGAGTAGGTTGCCATTTCCTTCTCCAGGGGATCTTCCCAACCCAGGGACGGAACCCAGGTCTCCTGCATTGCAGGTGGATTCTTTATACCTGCAATGAATCCTGCAAGAGACTGAGCTACCAGTAAAGCCCAATCTCCTGAAAATAGAACTCTTTACTTTCATTTTGCCCCTCCTCAGCCTCTCTTGATCTCTGTCCTTTCCAGGAGGGAAACAGAAGTGATTCTAGCAAAGAAAACCACGGAGGGATACTGGTGTCTCTTCCAAGTGGCAAGATTGCTCTTGATCACCCCCAATTCCATATTTTCCCAGCTTTTCAAACTTGTTGTGAATTGTTCCTTTCATTTGAAAGGTCTGAGTCACTGTTTGCAGACAAGGATTTAGACTCTGAAAACGTCCTAAACTGGCCCTTTTCTGGAAATCACAATGCCTAATCTTCATAAGCATGGAGCTAGGTTCTTTTCAGGGATTATCAAAATTTCATTTTGCAACCACCAACATCTTACAGGTGGGGAATGGAGGCTCAGAGAAATCAGTGAATTCACCCCAGGTCACATGAGGACACGCAGTGGCCAGCCCAGCTACAAATCCAGGACAGACTGGCTCCAAGTGCAGGCTGCTAACCACGATGAGAAGCCAGCACTTAATTTTAGTGTATTGCTTCCCACAAAGTGGGGAGGAAACAGAAGCTGGAGATTTTTCAAAGGAGGAGGGGCTACCTTTGTGCTTTATATAAGTTTACTTGCCCAGCCACAAAAGAACACCCTGGTGCTGAGTAGTATATAGACTTCTTTTTTTTTTTTAAGTCATGCTTCTGATAACTGGGGAAGCTTCCCTGGTGGCTCAGATGGTAAAGAATCTGCCTTCAATGCAGGAGACCTGGGTTCAACCCCTGGGTTGGGAAAATCCCCTGGAGAAGGGAGTGGCAACTCACTCCAGTATTCTTGCCTGGAAAATTCCATGCACAGAGGAGCCTGGTGGGCCACGGTCCATAGGCTCACAAAGAGTCGGACACAACTGAGCAAATAACACGTACTTACTTCTGGTAACTGATTAAGACTTGCTACCCAGCCACTTACTGCTTTCAGCAAGAGACTTCTCTCTTCCTCCTCAATTACTGTATTATAAACTGACTCCCTCAAGGGAGAGACAGCAATGAAGACAGGGCTCTGGGGGGAAGCGCTCCCTCGTACGCTTTTCCAGATGTTCCCAGAACCTTCAGAGAGATCTGAATAATGAACTGTGTTTTTCATGTTGCTCAAATTTGCTTTTCCACCTACCATTCTTTAACATGGTTGCACTGTGTTAACTTTGAACCGTTTCCTGTGTTCTTGGAGAACTAAGTCAACATTCTTTCATTTTCAGAGT